CCTTCAAGAAACACTAACACACAACAGCAGAAGGGAAGTACAGTAATAAAAATGTAAGGAAAAATTAAGTGAAAAATAAATGACAAACAACTAGATAAGAACATTTACTAAAAGGTTGATGTAGAAATGGAAAAGAATACACCAAATCACTGAATGGAAGTGCAATGAATATAGCCACAGGAGAAAAAATACAAGTAAAAAAAAAAAAGTACTTTCTTTAAATTTCTTCCACTAGAACAGTACCCCCATGGTCAACAAGTGCCCTTGATAAAGAAACTATACAGTACAGGTACAGTACAGTAGAGGTATGGATACAGTACAATACAGGTGCAGTACAGGTACAGTATAGTACAGTACAGTAACGGTACAGTACGGTACAGGTACAGTACGGTACAGGTACAGTACGGTACAGGTACAGTACGGTACAGGTACAGTACGGTACAGGTACAGTATGGTACAGGTACAGTACAGGTACAGTACGGTACAGGTACAGTATAGTACAGGTACAGTATAGTACAGGCACAGTAAAAGTAAAGTATAGTACAGGTACAGTACAGAATAATGAGCATTCAGGTGGATGGCAACTAGAGCAAAAAGTATTAAGGCATTAGATAAGCAAAGCTGATAAGACAAGATTTATTTCTAGAGTGACAACAAAGTTGGATGGCTAAGACAAACATTAACTTGGGATGCAGGTAGTGTACTGGTATAAAAAAAAAAAGGTTAGATATAATAAGCAGTGTTTCTGCTGAATTTTAATATTACATCACAGAGTAGTTCATGTTGAATTTAAGATCCACAGTATCTTATGAATAGCAGTATTTAAAAAAATAAGTGATCAGTGAGTGAGAGTCTGGGAAGAATAACAGTGACTCTCATGAGAAGAAAAACAGCAGCTTGCAAATAATACACAAAAAGACCATCATTACCAGCCAAGTCTGAACCTCTGATAAATATGGATGATACATATCAATGAGGTGGTTTGGGCATTCAGAGAGGATGCAACTGATGGAATGATCAAGGTGTATATATTGGGTAGAAGAAGGTGAATGCAGGGTAGGGGTTGTCCCAAGATGGGTTGGAGGGAAGGGGCAAAGGTGTTGAGTGCTAGGGTCTTGAGCAAACAGCAGGTTTGTATTAGCATGTTAGACTGGAGTGGGGACAAATGGTGTTTTGTGGCTTGACATGCTGCTGGAGTGTGAGCAAGGCAACATTTATTAAGGGATTTTGGGGAAATCCATAAGCCAGTCTTGAGTCCTGGGGGTGAGAAGTACAGTGCAGAATTGTGATATCTTCACACTTCTGGCAAGGCAGCAATTCAATGAATGATGGTAAATGTGTTTCCTCTTCTCTGGTCACTCTACTTTGGTGGGAGACAACCCACAAGTTTTATACACCACATAAAAAATTTATATGAGGCACTGAGAAGAATAACAACGAACTTGCCAGTGAGTGAAAACTGTCCAAATGTTCATATTCTTCCAAGTAGCATAAACTTTACTCAGATTGGTGAGCTCATCACCTTATCCTTCCTTTTTTCATTAAGAGTAAAGGGATGTTTGGTTATGTAGTCATGCCCAACAACAGTGCTTTGGTTCCAGAGTATACCAATGAACTCACCTTACCACCCTCAAACGTTCACTAAATTTGCTTTAAAATGAGACCATTTTGATCAAAACTGTATTGTTGGTTACTGAGATATTGTTGCATATATGATGCAAAAGTTTGTAGGCAATATACTCAAAAGTGGCATAATGCAAGTTAATTAGTTTTTTACACAGTGTCTCATATCTGTCCTGCCCTACTAACAGATTAAGAAGGCATTGTTAATGATTTATCATTAACAATGCCTCTATATATATATGTTAAACATTATATAACATGATTCACAAAATCATAATAACACACTTGTAAACAACTCGCTGCATATAGAAGGGTTCATGCCTCACTCAGTTCAGTAAGTACTTATAATCCTGTGAACTGAATAGAAATAAACTTAGTCGGATAAATCTTATTATTCAAGCATGGTTCAGCGGATAACACACTGGCCTGCTAGTTTTAGGACTAGCTTGCCATGGGTTCAAACCCCATATACAAGCTACAAGTACCCTTTTTTTAGGTGAAGGCAAACAACCATCTGACTCTCTTAATATAAACTAACCTACTGTGAAGTACTCTACTGTACTTTACAGGAGGGCCCTGCTTTACAGTGCTTCGCTTTATGGTGTTTTGCTAAAACAGCACTTTTCTATTACACCCATTCTTCATTTATTCAGACTTCCTACAATAAATATATTCACCACTCACTATATGCCAAAGACGAATATATTTTAAGGTAAGTAATATGTGTACTGTAAATGCATTTTTTAAGCCTAGCACTATTGCTCACTTAATATTTTTTATTTATTATCACACTGGCCAATTCCCACCAAGGCAGGGTGGCCCGAAAAAGAAAAACTTTCACCATCATTCACTCCATCACTGTCTTGCCAGAAGGGTGCTTTACACTACAGTTTTTAAACTGCAACATTAACACCCCTCCTTCAGAGTGAAGGCACTGTACTTCCCATCTCCAGGACTCAAGTCTGGCCTGCCGGTTTCCCTGAACCCCTTCATAAATGTTACTTTGCTCACACTCCAACAGCACGTCAAGTATTAAAAACCATTTGTCTCCATTCACTCCTATCAAACATGCTCACGCATGCCTGCTGGAAGTCCAAGCCCCTCGCACACAAAACCTCCGTTACCCCCTCCCTCCAACCTTTCCTAGGCCGACCCCTACCCTGCCTTCCTTCCACTACAGACTGATACACTCTTGAAGTCACTCTGTTTCGCTCCATTCTCTCTACATGTCCAAACCACATCAACAACCCTTCCTCAGAACTCTGGACAACAGTTTTGGTAATCCCGCACCTCCTCCTAACTTCCAAACTACGAATTCTCTGCATTATATTCACACCACACATTGCCCTCAGACATGACATCTCCACTGCCTCCAGCCTTCTCCTCGCTGCAACATTCATCACCCATGCTTCACACCCATATAAGAGCGTTGGTAAAACTATACTCTCATACATTCCCCTCTTTGCCTCCAAGGACAAAGTTCTGTCTCCACAGACTCCTAAGTGCACCACTTGCCCTTTTCCCCTCATCAATTCTATGATTCACCTCATCTTTCATAGACCCATCCACTGACACGTCCACTCCCAAATATCTGAATACATTCACCTCCTCCATACTCTCTCCCTCCAATCTGATATCCAATCTTTCATCACCTAATCTTTTTGTTATCCTCATAACCTTACTCTTTCCTGTATTCACTTTTAATTTTCTTCTTTTGCACACCCTACCAAATTCATCCACCAATCTCTGCAACTTCTCTTCAGAATCTCCCAAGAGCACAGTGTCATCCGCAAAGAGCAACTGTGACAACTCCCACTTTATGTGTGATTCTTTATCTTTTAACTCCACGCCTCTTGCCAAGACCCTTGCATTTACTTCTCTTACAACCCCATCTATAAATATATTAAACAACCACGGTGACATCACACATCCTTGTCTAAGGCCTACTTTTACTGGGAAATAATTTCCCTCTTTCCTACATACTCTAACTTGAGCCTCACTATCCTCGTAAAAACTCTTCACTGCTTTCAGTAACCTCCCTCCTACACCATACACCTGCAACATCTGCCACATTGCCCCCCCTATCCACCCTGTCATACGCCTTTTCCAAATCCATAAATGCCACAAAGACCTCTTTACTCTTTAGCCTTATCTAAATACTGTTCACTTATATGTTTCACTGTAAACACCTGGTCCACACACCCCCTACCTTTCCTAAAGCCTCCTTGTTCATCTGCTATCCTATTCTCCGTCTTACTCTTAATTCTTTCAATAATAACTCTACCATACACTTTACCAGGAATACTCAACAGACTTATCCCCCTATAATTTTTGCACTCTCTTTTGTCCCCTTTGCCTTACCCTTACCCTCTTCCATACATTTATTAAATAATTGCACCAACCACTCCAAAACTATATCCCCACCTGCTTTTAACATTTCTATCTTTATCCCATCAATCCCGGCTGCCTTACCCCCTTTCATTTTACCTACTGCCTCACGAACTTCCCCCACACTCACAACTGGCTCTTCCTCACTCCTACAAGATGTTATTCCTCCTTGCCCTATACACGAAATCACAGCTTCCCTATCTTCATCAACATTTAACAATTCCTCAAAATATTCCCTCCATCTTCCCAATACCTCTAACTCTCCATTTAATAACTCTCCTCTCCTATTTTTAACTGACAAATCCATTTGTTCTCTAGGCTTCCTTAACTTGTTAATCTCACTCCAAAACTTTTTTCTTATTTTCAACAAAATTTGTTGATAACATCTCACTCACTCTCTCATTTGCTCTCTTTTTACATTGCTTCACCACTCTCTTAACCTCTCTCTTTTTCTCCATATACTCTTCCCTCCTTGCATCACTTCTACTTTGTAAAAACTTCTCATATGCTAACTTTTTCTCCCTTACTACTCTCTTTACATCATCATTCCACCAATCGCTCCTCTTCCCTCCCGCACCCACTTTCCTGTAACCACAAACTTCTGCTGAACACTTAATATATGATAGTGTAAACAATTTATCAAGCTTTTATATTCATTTGAAATTGAAAAAAGGCCTGTAAACAATTTATCAAGCTTTTATATTCATTTGAAATTGAAAAAAAGGCCATGTTTCACTTTACAGCAATTTTCACTTTACTGTAGTAGCCTGGAACCTAACCTGCTGTATAAGGAGGGCCCTCCTGTATATGAAACAAAGCTGTGCAAGACATTATACAAACAATATTTTTTCTTCAACTGTGCATGCAAGCAAACAAGTTTTAGACACAAGAACAAGACAACTAGTATTTCATCAATAAACAGCCTCATTCCAAGTTGAGCACTGAAACTGAGGGCTAATATTTTGACCACACCCCTTCCTTTAACGTACTCACTAACTCATTCCTTCACCCCGATGCGCAGTCACCATCTAAGTCTTCGTCTCTCAAGTTCAATGCAGAGATCAAACAGCAGTGACATCTGCAAATAGCAAGATCCCTCATTTCTGGAACTGTATTGCTCTTTCATAATATCCTACCTAACACAAGCAAATCATCCTAGTTAAAACACTACAAAAATGTAAAACTGATTTATCCTACTTTCCATTTATTTTTTTAACCATAATACAACAAAGTAACAGTTGAAGCGCAAGTTTTCTTTGGTTACTCTATATACAGTATACAGTGGAACACAAATTACCCTCACATCTTAAATTCAACTTGACTAGATTTAATAATAAAGACAGATGTCACATTAGAAATACAATACCACAAACTACTGTATAAGGAAAACATAAATACAGTAAAATTTTCTACATAGTTCTTAGTGAACATATTCTTTTAAGTATCTGCAATATGCAAGTACTGCTTTAGAAAATAAAATGCATGTACTGGGTAGAATAAATTCACAGTATTGGTACAGAAGAAGCAGAAACTCAGTCCTGCTATGTGAGCATTGAAAACCACAAAAATAGAAACTTTTTGATTATAAGTATTACACTGACAAGAATCTTAACTGATAGTTAAATAAAAATGCCACACATGCATGCATGCATGCATACACGAAAACTGAAGGTATAGTACACCAACACTGATGGTATAACAAGTGGGAGGAGTAGCACGGAAGATTCACAGAGTAATCACCAGACATCATAGCCCTCACAGAAACTAAGCTCTCAGGAATGATAACATATGCTATCTGTCCAACTGGATATCAGATCTTGACGAAAGACAGAGGGAACAGGGGGGATGGAGGAGTGGCACTGCTCATCAAACACCAATAAGATTTTGAAGAGTTGGAGACAGGGGACAGAGAAGCAAGGGACTACATAATAGAAACACTTCAAACTGGAGGTCCAAGGTGGTGATTGCAGTGATGTATAACCCACAACAGAATAGCAGGAGGCCAAGACAAGAATATGATGAGAGTAACAGAGAGATGGTTGATACACTGGCTGAAGTGACCAAAAAATCCCATGCAGGCAGGGCAGAGCTATTAGTTGTGGGTGACTTCAATCACAAAAAATCGACAGGGAAAACCTGGAGCTACATGGAGACCCAGAAATGTGGAGGGCTAAGATGCTGAAGCACTTGTAACACTAGTCAACAATTGCTTCTCGTGCATCAACATGTTAGGGACACTACCAGAGAGCGGGAAGAAGATGAACTAGCAAGACTGGACCTAGTGTTCACCTTGAGCAGTGCAGATATTGAGGTCATCACATATGAAAGGCCCCTCAGAGCTAGTGATCACATGGTTCTAAGCTTCAAATACATAGTTACAAGTAGAGAGGGAGGCAGGAAGAATGAAGCCAAACTACAAGAGAGGGGACTACACAGGCATAAGGAACTTCTTGCACGAGGTCCAGTGGGACAGAGAACTGGCAGGGAAAACAGTAAATGAGATAATGGAATATGTGACAACAATATGCAAGGGAAGCAGAGGAGTGGTTTGTACCCAAGGGCAACAGACATAATGAGAAGGCCAGGACATGCCCTTGGTTCACCCAGAGGTGTAGAGAAGCTAAAACAAAGTGTGGTAGAGAATGGAAGAAGTACAGAAGGCAAAGAACCCAGAAGAGCAAGGAGAGCAGTCCAAGAGTAAGAAATGAATATGCACAGGTAAGGAGGGAGGCCCAATGACAATACGAAAATGACATAACAGCAAAAGCAGTCTGACCTGAAGCTGTTGTACAGTCACATCAGGAAGAAAACAACAGTCAAAGACCAGGTAATCAGGCTGAGAAAAGAAGGAGGGGAGTTTACAAGAAACAACTTTGAAGTTCGTGAAGAGCTCAACATGAGATCCAATGAAGTATTCACTGGACACAATACAGGACACAATACATACAACCAAGGAGGAGGTGAAAAGGCTGTTAAGTGAACTAGATATTTCAAAGGCGATGGAGCAGGATAACATCTCTCCTTGGGTCCTGAGAGAGGGAGCAGAAGTGCTCTATACTCACCTATTTGTGGTTGCAGAGGTTGAGTCATAGCTCCTGGCCCTACCTCTTCAATGATTGCCACTAGGTCCTCTCTCTCCATGCTCCATGAGCTTTATCAAACCTCATCTTAAAACTATGTATGGTTCCTTCCTCCACTAAGTCACTTTCTAGGCTATTCCACTGCCTGACAACTCTATGACTGAAGAAATACTTCCTAACATCCCTTTGACTCATCTGAGTCTTCAACTTCTAATTGTGACCCCTTGTTTCTGTGTCCCATCTCTGGAGCATCCTATATCTTTGTCCACTTTGTCTATTCTGTGCAGCATTTAACCTTTCTTCATAGGACAGTCCCCTTAGCTCTAGGACTAGACTTGTTGCAAACCTTTGCACTTTCTCTAATTTCTTGACATGCTTGACCAGGTGTGAATTCCAAACTGGTGCTGCATACTCCAATATGGGCCTGACGTATATGGTGTACAGAGTCTTGAACAATTCCTTACTGAGGTATCGGAACACTATCCTTAGGTTTGCCAGAGGTCCATATGCTGCAGCAGTTATCTTATTGATGTGCGCCGCAGGAGATGTGCTCGGTATTATACTCACCCCAAGATTTTTTTCCTTGACTGAGGTTTGCAGTGACTCATGAAATCATAATGACATGATTGCAAACAAACCATACCACGGGTGGGGTTTGATCCCGTGGTCAGAGTCTCAAAAATCCAGACCGTCACGTTAGCCACTGGGCCAGCTAGCTCCAATAAGATTCATCCAACTAGGTATATATCTACACCATAGGAAGGTTAGCATAGGCACCACTGTGACCACAAATGCAAGTTTTTACAGACAAATCTCCCGTTAGCATGGCCGTGACAAACTCTAGCTCAAGTCCCCTCAAAGCCATCAACGTGACTCACGAAATCGTAATGACACGATTGCAAACAAACCATACCACGGGAGGGGTTTGATCCTGCAGTCAGAGTCTTAAAACTCCAGACTCTTGCGTTAGCCACTGGGCCAGCTAGCTTCAATAAGATTCATCCAACTAGGTATATATCTACACCATAGGAAGGTTAGCATAGGCACCACTGTGACCACAAATGCAAGTTTTTACAGACAAATCTCCCGCTAGCATGGCCATGACAAACTCTAGCTCAAGTCCCCTCAAAGCCATCAACGTGACTCACGAAATCGTAATGACACGATTGCAAACAAACCATACCATGGGTGGGGTTTGATCCCACGGTCAGAGTGTCTCAAAACTCCAGACCATCGCGTTAGCCACTAGGCCAGCTAGCTTCAATAAGATTCATCCAACCAGGTATATTTCTACACCATAGGAAGGTTAGCATAGGCACCACTGTGACCACTGTTTGCAATCGTGTCATTACGATTTCCTGAGTCATGTTGACGGCTTTGAGGGGACTTGAGCTAGAGTTCGTCATGGCCATGCTAGCGGGAGATTCGTCTGTAAAAGTTTGCATTTGTGGTCACAGTGGTGCCTATGCTAACCTTCCTATTGTGTAGAAATATACCTAGTTGGATGAATCTTACTGAAGCTAGCTGGCCCAGTGGCTAACGCGACGGTCTGGAGTTTTGAGATTCTTTGACCGCGGGATCAAACCCCACCCGTGGTATGGTTTGGTAGGTTTGCAGTCTTTGGCCACCTGGACTATACTGTGCCTGCGGTCTTCTTTGCCTTCCCTGATCTTCATGACTTTGCATTTGGCGAGGTTGAATTCAAGAAGCCAGATGCTGGACCACGTGTCCAGCCTGTCCAGGTCTCTTTGTAATCCTGCCTGATCCTCATCTGATTTAATTCTCCTCATTAACCTCACATCACCTGCAAACAGGGACACTTCTGAGTCTATTCCTTCCATTATGTCATTCACATATACCAAAAACAGCACAGGTCCTGGGACTGACCCCTGTGGAACCCCGCTTGTCACAGGCGCCCACTCTGACACCTTGTCATGTACCATGACTTGCTGTTGCCTCCCTGTCAGGTATTCTCTGATCCACTGCAGTGCCTTTCCTGTTATGTGTGCCCGATCCTCTAGCTTTTGCATTAACCTCTTGTGAGGAACTGTGTCGAAGGCCTTCTTGCAGTCCAAGAAAATGCAGTCTATCCACCCCTCTCTCTCTCATCTTACTTCTGTCACCTTGTCATAAAACTCCTGTAGGTTTATGACACATGATTTTCCTTCCCTGAAACTGTGCTGGTTGTCATTATACATTTGTTTATTTCCAGGCATTCCACCACTCTCCTCCTGATCTTCTCCATGATTTTGCATACTATACACGTTAATGACACAATTCTGTAGTTTAATGTCTCGTGTCTGTCTCCTTTTTTTAAAAATTGAGACTACATTTGCCATCTTCCAGACCTCAGGTAGTTGCCTAGTTTCAATGGATGTGTTGAAGATCTTTGTTAGTGGCACACACAGCATCTCTGCTCCCTCTCTAAGGACGCACGGAGAGATGCTGTCTGGTCCCACCACCTTTGAGGTATCGAGTTCACATAGCAGCTTCTTCACCTCCTCCTCAGTTATGTGTACCTCATCCAGCTCTTGTTGGTGTACCTCCCTGTTCTGATTTCCTGGAGTCCTACCCGTTTCCACTGTAAATACTTCTTTAAATCTCATGTTGAGCTCCTCACATACCTCTTGGTCATTTCTTGTGAACTCCCCATCATCCTTTCTCAGTCTGATTGCCTGGTCCTTGAGTGTTGTTTTCCTCCTGATGTGGCTATAAAACAGCTTCGGGTCAGACTTGACTTTCGATGCTATGTAATTTTCATATTGTCACTGAGCCTCCCTTCTTATCTGTGCATATTCGTTTCTGGCTCTTCAGCTGATCTCTTTATTTTCCTGGGCCCTTTGTCTTCTGTACCTTTTCCATTCTCTAGTACACCTAGTTTTTGCCTCCCTACACCTTTGGGTGAACCAAGGACTCGTTCTGGTCTTCCCATTATTTCTATTTCCCTTGGGAACAAACCTCTCCTCTGCCTCCTTGCATTTTGTTGTCACATAGTCCA